TGCACTACTAATTGGAAGTATACCTTTTCTTTCCTATTTATTATACCAAGTCCAAAATAGTGCCCCTCTAAATAACAAATTGGCCCTTTTAATATAAACCTTAGGTTCAAAAATTATCTTTCAACATCAAAAACTGAAGGGTTGCATCTATCATAAAGAACTGGAAGCAAAATAAAAATGCTACCACTGTTTACAGCATTCCTACAGTGCTGTGCTGATTATGATAAGCATGCAGAGTATTAAACATTACTGAAGTAATCGGGGCATATTTTCACCTCTAAAATATGTATTTCTCTTGTCTCCCCAAAGAAAGAGATTTGAGCCTGATACTCGGCCAAGCCCCCAATTTTACTTCATAAAATGATAAATGTCAAATTTAATTTCATTAAAATTGTTTTCATATTTGGAGTTTAAGAATTCAGAATCAATTTCAAGGCTGCCAAAACTCAATTTGTTGATTTGGTAGTTTAGCTACAGCTTCACCACAAGAAATCAAATCTGATGCAACATCTTCACCATCTACTTAAGGATATTTGCATAGGAATAAAAATTTGAAGCCAGGAATCTGCCTTAATATCCTTGTAAATAATGATAACAGTTCAGAAAGGTTTGTTTCCAGACTGGGAGAAAAATTTTCTATAATAATTGGGGAATACGTTTTACCAAACACAAAAATAAAATATTCATCGCTTTGGAGTCCCTTCAGAACTTTAACAGCTATTCAAAAATGCATCTAACAGGAACAAAATAAGCTTGACATAGAATAATACCAAATTGCAGAAACCAAGGCAATTACCTTGGACTTGGGAGCAAATATACTATTTAAAGGAGACCAGGGTCTTAGTTTTAATTGCACTTTTATTGCTGATTGCAATATTGAAAATGTTTTTAAAAGAAATCAAGGTAATAGCTTTCGTATCAACTTTGAAGTAATTAGAAGAGCAGATTGTTGGAGAAGGTACATCATTTTATATGTAAACATACAATTTCCTATTGGTTTAAAGAGAAGAACCCTCTCTACCCTGCCTGTCAGTATCAGATACCTTATAATACTACAGTTACGTCACAGTGGGAAGGAATGGCTAATAAGTACATCTCTTTTCCAATCCACTTCTCTACCTAGTCATTAAACACCAAACACTGAAGCTGTATTCAGCCATGTCAATCTTCCTACTGGGAATGCTCCCTATGGCACCCCAATCCCTTCCACTGTTGCTGACTCCAACTGCCAAAGCCCCTCCTATTAATAGTAAATCCCTCTCATACTGACTCACTGCAACTCCAACTTAATGAAACAGACCCAAGAAGAATTTTTTAAATCAACAAATGGAATTTCCTATTTTCAAGAAAAAAAGCAAATCAAAAGGAAAGTAAAAGCAGAGCACACTGAGACTAAGCTACCTTTCAAGTCTATCTAACTTGTGGGGATTTACCTTGTTTTCCCTATACTGCTTGTGTAAATATTTTTGAAAGTTGGTATGCTAGGCATTACATAATTACCCACACACAAGCCTAAGCTTCGTGTAAATAACTTAGGTATGTAAATATAAAGTCAGCACATCAAAATGTAAAAACTTGGAAATTTTTCTTCAAAAATCTACGTCAACTACAGAAATTTTCAAGCACATACAAAAGTAGACTAAGTAACCAATGAGCCCTTCTGACCTCAGCTAGCTACAATAATCAGCTCCCAGCCACTTCTCTTTTCATCTGTCCTCCTACTCTTATCTTTAAAGAAAATGAGGAGACAAGTATGTACGTCCTCAGTAAGGACACAGAGAATAACCCCAAGGCAACAAAACTATCGAAGTAACATGTTAAAGAGTCAAACATCTTACAATGTTACTGTAAAAGAACCCGGCACAATTAATAGCTAGTTAAATTTAAGAATTCAGTTAAAAACATAGAAATGATTATCTCTACGAATTTTAATCAAGCCCATAAGACCCAATAAGTACATTTTAAATTATATTTTTAAAGGATAAATAGAAAAGACGTGAAAATGAACTTAAACATTTGCAATTAGCTGGAATCTACGCAGCACTTAATCTCAAAACCGAAAAAAAAAACCCAGACTATTTAACATAATGTGTCATGAAATTACAATTCAACCACTTGAAAAACCGCTCAACACTTATGCATTAACTGGTCCTTCTGATCCCTAATTATAGATTGATATCAACGTAAAAAGAAAACCAGGCATTTTGACGCAAGTGGTTTAAAATGTTCAAAATTAACCCCACCTTTCATTGAGAAATATATGAAAGCAAGACGAAACTACCTGAATTGAACGTCGTTTAGCGGAAATGCATCCACCTTCCAGGGCCATCCAAAAAAAAAAAAACATATAAGTTCACATATACCCTTAAACGCAACGCACTGGGCTCCAGACAGAATTAGGAGACCTCCTCCTGCTTTTGCTCCTAACCAATACGCAGAGAGAGAAGGTTGGCAGGAAAGTGCTGCGAGGACCAGTAACAAACACCAGCAAGCTCCCGAGCAGGCCCTGCTAGAGCCAGGAATGACGCACTTAGGTAACCCGACTCTTTCTCCCCTCCACCCCCCGCCCCCAGCAGCGGTGCTGACACCGCCAACAGCCCGGAGTAGAAAAAAAAGACAACAGAAAAAAAAAGGCAAAGCTTGGACAGCACCAGGTTTCATTAAGAAACCTCGATTATTCCTCTTTCGACACTAAACACCAGGACTAAACAGGAAAAGAAGCTTCGTGCTTAAGCAAGTCCCATCATGGTGGTTTAAGTCACTAAATTAAGCTGATAATGAGTCCAATCCACAGAGACATATATACAGGGTGTGGCTGCTGTGAAATACGGCGGTCCGTGGGAGAAAGGGGGTACGGAATTTACACTCCAGTGTGAAGGGATGAGGGGGCTTTACCGGGGTCGAAGAGGCAGCCCGCGCATTTTAAGGAACCATTGCAAACCAACAGAAGCGTCTCCTTTACTTACACCTAACCCCACAGATCAAAAGTTTCAGATAGACATAGCACAGAAGCTGGAAATAATCATTTAATCAAAAAACAAGACCCTCAATTTAAAAACTACATCTAGAAGAAAGGAGGAGGGAGAGGAAGGGGGGGTAGGCAAGAGCATAAAAAACATCCTAGGCCACGGAGGAGAAAGTCTCCCAGACCGGATGAAACTACTAATGCAATATTAAAAATTCAAGTCGAGCACCAAAGCACGAAAAATCACACGATAACCCATTACCGTTGAGGATTAAAAATAAAATGACATATAACACCGAGGAGGAGCAAAAACTAAATGTCGAAAGTACAGCGATATATATATATATTTAAAAAAAAAACCTAAAGGCAAAACAAGACATTCTCGCGGCGGGAGGGAAAGGGGAAAAAAGGCCGAAATCAACAATACGTTTACGATTCTAGGCCAGAAGAAAATGGGAACGGGGCTCAAAGTTTTGCGGAACTACTTGATGCTGTTTCCCACACCTTCTCTCTCCGATGGCCCATCCGGCCCTTTTCCTCCTAAAATTGTAGTCCACAGATCTCCGGATCTGTGAGAGAAGAAAAGAGAAAGTCGCCCTCGAGCAAGAATAAAAGTGTGGAGGGAAAACAGAGGCTGCCTACCTGGGGCAAGGATCAGCTCAGTTCGTGCCTTGAGAAAGACAGCGAGGGTGGGGGTGGGAACGAAAAAGCAGCACTAAAACTAAAACAAAAGTGGCGCCAAAACCCCCCAACAAACAGCCTTCCACTCCCGCCCTTCCCCCCCCTCTGCCCATGCCAGGCAGGCAGGGCCCCCTTCGGGGCAAGGTCTACGCGCAGGGGACCGACGCGGCCGGACCCCAGCCTATTTCGAAAATTGGTGCCCTAAGAAAACTGACCGAAGTCGGGGCCTCGGAAAGGATGGAGAGATCGATGCCAACCGCTTTGCCCAAGCAGTTCCCCCACCACGCGCTGGAGATGATGGGGCGGGGGAGAGAAGCCGAGGGGCCCGTCACGTGAATGTTGTTCCCTCTCTAGGAAGGGAGGAAGAGAGAGAGGGAGGGAGGGAGGGAGGGAGGGAGGGGAGGGGAGAGGAGGGAAGGAAGGAGGGGAAGGGAGGGGGAGGAGGGAGGAGGGAGGGGGGGACGAGGGAGGGGTGTGAGCAGAGTAGATTTTCCCTCGCCTCCCTCGGTCCGAGGCCCAAATAGACACAGGCTAGCCTGCTCTCCCTCCTCCCCCCCCCCCCCCCCCCCCCGTTCCCAGCACCACCATTTTGCTCGCTTCCTTCCCCGCACCACCACAATGCGCTCCCCCCCCCCCCCCCGACACACACAGACACACACACACACACAGACAACACACACACCCGGCCGCGGCCTCCCCGGTTTCGCCTTCCCGCCGCCCCCCCTACGGATGGCACCCCCACTCCACCTCCAGTTTTGGGGCTCTCTTCCCCCAGGCTGCTTAGGAGGAAGCCCCCGGAGGAGAGGAAGCCACCTCGAACGCTACACGGAGGCGCGGAGCCTCCATCTTGCGCTGCTGCGCGTTCTCCATTTTGGGCCACCCATTGGGGAGGGGGGTCCTCGGCGGAGGCCCCGAGGGAGAGTTGGGGCGAGGGAGGCAGGAGAAAAGCTTCAGCGAGGGTAGTGGAAAAGAAGCGTCCTGCGCTAAAAAGCGGCTCTGGGAGGAGGTAGGCAGGAAGGGGGTGGGGGAAGCTGGGGGGGGGGGAGCCTGGAAGTTCCTTGCAAGTGTTGGGGTAGCGACTTGGGGGCGGAGAAGTGAGGCAGGGGGAGACGCGGGGACGAGGCGAGGACTCGCTCCCCGCCTGGACACAGCCGCTCACTCCATGGCTGCCCCGCGCCAAGCCGAGGGAGAGGGCCGCGAAAAGGCAACGGGACGCCCGGCCTGTTGCCACCCTCCCCCGGCGGCACGCTCTCTTCGCCCGGTCGTAAGCACACAGACCTCACGCTGGGCCGCGCGCCCTCCGGGTGCCCCTCCAAACTTCTAGAAGCTTCGCCTCCGCCATTTTATAACTTACCTCCCCCCTCAGCGTCTACAGAGGCAGCCAGGAGACTGTTGGCCTCCCCCACTCCTTCCTTCTGTCTCAGGCCGGGGGCTCCTTCACCCCTGGGCTGGTACAAGAATTTTTTTTCCCCTTCCTCTTCTTTACACCCTTGAATTCTACTCGGGGACGGAAGCTCCCGCGGTTCTAGACCGGTGGGGGGGGTTTGAAAGTGGCGGTCGGATCCCGCGGGTTTTTTTTTTCTTTTTTTTTTTTTTTTTTGGTGGCGCTTCGGGATTGTTTGGGGTGTTCGCTCTTAAGCGACTTGGAGGCGAATGGTACGCGCAGGCGCCATCTGTTGGCCACGAACCCGCGCCCAGCTCCTGTTGGGAGGGAGCGGCATCTAGCGGCAGCGGGGCGCCATGGCAGCGCGCGGCCCCCGCCCCTCCCACCCAGCATCCTCCTCCCTGGCGGCGGCCAATCACGAGCGAGCGCCTCCCGGCTGGCTCTGGCATCTCTGATGCCTCCTGTGAACTGGGCGCCCGCAGGGGCGCGCCGCCCAGTGGGGTAAACAAGGCGGCGTGCCCGCGCCTCACTTACTCATTCGTTGGGACGCGCTTTCCTCCCGGCGCGGACTGGACGGGGCCGTGGCGGCAATGTTGGCCGGCGCCAGGCAGGAGGTCGCCCGGAGGCCAGGAGCAGTGGGTGTCCGCCTGAGCCGGACCGTGGGAACCCCAACACTTGGCGACCCAATCGCCCCACTCCTCCGCCCCTGCTCGGCCCCAGAGGGGCAGGCCAGCAGCCTTCGAGGCTCTCCTCTCCAACACACCCACCCCAGAGAGCTCCCCCTTCCCCCGCCTCCCTATGCCCACTTCACTTCCCACCCAAAGAACCCAATGCGCCCAACTCTGCCACCTGATCCCAGCGGGATTCAGTGGCTCACATTTTTATTTTGCTTTGCTTTTTTTTTTTTTGGCTTCGCGTATGAGAGAAAGGGTGCTCATTCTCTTTACCAGGGAGATTGGGAGATAGTCATACACACACACACACACACACACACACACACACACACTTCCTGCAGGTTCCAAGAAAACGTGTCTCTATCCTCGAATTCTAGGAGACTTAGGGAACTAGGCTACTAAGCCAGTCCGGCTGCTCAACCAGTTTATTGGCAACTTTGGGGGTGGAAGAGGAGACAGGATCAAAGTGGCATAAAATCCACAGGCAAGGGACAGGCTTAGCAGCCGCCCTGTGAAGACTACCAGACTCTGGCCTTCTGTGGAGGTGGCCTTGCCACATTGTTAACGAATAAGTTCCTTATCTACTCTTATCCCTCCTACAAATATTTTGAAGGACACAAAAGCCTTTTGCCCTCTTTCCCACTCGCTTGACCCTTTATCACCCTTGGATGTTTATTCTGAGGACTTTCTTTATGTCCCTTCGTTTCCAGTCCACCCTACTGGACTTTTGAATGCCTAGAACTCTCTCTGACAGGGTGAGGAACACTCAGGAATGGCCGCCTGTCCCTGCCAGGCTCCTCTTCTCCTTGGACAGGAAAAGAACTATTAATTACAGTGTTTCCATTGCCATTGCAGAAGTCCCTAGCCACCTAAAATAGCATCAGATTAAAAATTGTTTCTGTTTCATTTTTTCTGTTTTATTTTTTACATGTTGATTAAAATATCTTCCTCAGTATTCAGTTTCAAACATTTAGTAATAAGAAAAATGAGAACTATTACAAGCTGAGTAAATAGTGGCCACCCCACCCTATCACAAATCTTAGGGCTTTCCTAATGTGATGCAATGACCCCTTGCATTCCTAACATTAGATTTTTTCCATATCTGGGTCTTAGTTCTTCTAGCCACCGAGCCTATTATTCATTTTCCTGCAACTATGGTCTCCTTAATCAAATGAACAATAAAAGTTAAACAGAAGCATCTAGATACCAATCAAAAAAAAAAAAACAAAGCCTTAAACATTTTTACTTACCAGTAAAGCATCAGGGAGTGGAATGTCATTCAGAATAAATTTCCATTTCTTTTCTAGACCTTTTTCGGTAGAACATGATGCAGTTTTTCATAGATTCAAGTCTCTGAATGATGCAGCTAGATCAATAGGGAGCAGTGAAAATTTTACAGCTGCAACAGAATTCTACCTGAACTAATAGAAAAATTGGATGGTATGCCAAATAATTTTACACTAATTAGTAGTTAACTTGGGTCAGTTGTAAGGAAATGGCTTCCTGTTTTATTTTTTAGTGTTTTAGTATGAACTGAAAATGATGTTCTCCTCAAAGCAGCACATAGCACGTGGTACACTTTCTCCTAAGTTTTAGAAATTAAGGTGCTAATTTGGCTGTGTACCAGTTGAGCTATTATGAACACTTCTGTTGTTTAAATAAAATTAAAAAGTCCTCTTGCAAATTTGCTTTCATTTTCTGGAAAATACTGCTGAAAATTAGTAACTATAGTATCAATTAACTGTAGCAAATTTATACTAATATCTAGCAGCACATGTTAATGATGTAAAACTGTCTTTGTTACTGTGGTTTTTTTTGGGGGGGTTGGTTTGGTTTGGTTTTTGTTTTTCAAGACAGGTTTCTTTGTGTAGCCCTGGTTATCCTGGCACTCACTTTGTATTTGTAGACCAGGCTGGCCTCGAATTCACAGAGATCCACCTACCTCTACCTCCCAAGTGCTGAGATTAAAGATGTACGCCACCACCGCCTGGCTGTCTGAGCTTTCCAAGTGCTGGGATTATAGGTATATGCCACCACACACAGCAGTTTGTCACTTTCATATGACCCTAACATATGACCAGCAATCTTTCTCCTGAGCATTTATTTTAGAAAAATGAAAACTTTGTTTCAATGAAAACATATGCAGATGTTCATAGCAGCTTTATCCGTGATAAACAAAAGAAGCAACCGAGATAGCCATCGAATGGTAAAATGGTTAACCAAAGAGGGCATACACATATGGAATATTACTAAGGAGTCGAAATGATTGATTCACACGGAAATTTAAATGATTCTCATGGGCATTATGTTTAGTATAAATGTGCAAATCCATTTTCATAAAGCTACAGGCTACCAGGTGGGAAAAGATGACTCAGCAGGTAAAGGTGCTTGCTACCAAGCCTACTGACCTGAGTTCAATCCTCAATGCCCTTGTAAAAGGAGAAAACCGCCTAGTACAAGATGTCCTCGGCCCCACCACACCTGGGCTGTCCCATGTCTACACACAAACAATGCACAAAATTAAGTCAAGTACTTTACCATTGTAAAATGTTCTTAAACTGACAAAATTACAGTTCACAATAGATTCATTGCTGGCACAGATTAGATCTGGGGAATGGGGATACCTATTAAAGGGTTTGTGACAACTGAACAACTATATAACTTGATTGTGCTGACCACTCTAATATAAATACATTTAAAAAAAAAGCTGGGTGGTGGTGGCGCACGCCTTTAATCCCAGCACTAGGGAGGCAGAGACAAGTGAATCTCTGTGAGTTCAAGGCCAGCCTGGTCTACAAGAGCTAGTTCCAGGGCAGGCCCCAAAGCTACAGAGAAACCCTGTCTGGAAAAAACAAAAAAGAAATATGTAATAAAATATCATGTTGCTACACGCAATTTCATGGAAATATTGGTGAAATTCAAATATATACATGTGCTGGCAATATTGTATCAAAGTTAATTTCCTGCTTTTGACAGGGCACTGTTGTTATGGTTACTATTATCATTAAACAAGGCTGTGTGAAGGGTACTTGAAATGTTTTTGTATTATATTTGCAGGGCTTTGTGAGCACTATTTCAAAATTTTTAAATATAATAAAAATATTCAGGCAGACACAATGGTGCATGTGTCTGCCCAGGAGCCTGCCATAGAGGATTCCTTGAGCACTGGAGTACAAGTCCAGACTAAGCAACACATGAAGACTTTGTCTCAAAAAGAATTCAGAGATAACAAAAGCGAAAAAAAGTCTCTTGTTAGTGGAAAGATAAGTATCCTTATCAAAGAAATGCATCGAATTTCTAGGTTACAGTCATTGTCATGACCTTAGATATGACTAATTTCCAAGATCCCTATCATTCCTTGTTGACTAAGATCCTGATGTTGCAATACTTAGAGCAGACCTTTGACCTACGGCATCAACAGGAAATAGCCATACCTATAAGCCTGATCTAAACCGGGCGGTGATGGCACATGCCTTAATCCCAGCTCTCAGGAGGCAGAGACAGGTGGATCTTTCAGTTCCAGACCAACCCGGTCGGCAGAGTGAGTTCCAGGACTACACAAAGAAACACTAAACAAAAAGCCTGATCTAAAGCAAATTACATCTTTTAAAGACTCACTGTGTAAATCCACAGACCGGCCCTCAAACCTGCAGCTGTCTGCCTGCCTCTACTGCCCGAGGACTGGAATTAAAAGCATGCACCGCCTCATCCGACTCAATTGCACAATCTCTTATTGGCCCTCATTGCTTACAGTCCTGCTTCTACAACAACTAGGTGACCTAGAATCCCCTGAGGGGACAGGTGTTGTTGCAAATACCTGTAAGACAAGTACTGGAAAAGTGGAGGCAGGAAGATCAGGAGCTCAAGGCCCGAACTCAAACCCTATCTCAAACACTAAAGACCCTATCTCAAACACTAAAATTTAAAAAAAGAAAAGGAAAATCTAGGGATCTTCCTTAAATGCCAATTTTGTTTTAAGTAGTGTGGGATTCCTATGAGATGGGCGATTCTACAGCTCCAGCAAACTTCCAGGACACACCTATGCTGGTAGTTCAGGCTTGGGGGAAGGGAAAATCTGAAGAACAAAGTATGAAATCTTTCCGGTAGCTTTTGGTACCTTCCACACTCATCTAAATTTCATCACTCCTCACAGTGAACTCAGATGGAGTAATATCTCTATTGTTCATAGGTCTATTTCCTTTACTTAGAAAAAATAAGCCGTTGTTTTGAAACGCTACTGAGGACGTTAGGAAAGAGGAAGCTTGACACACTGCTTGCTGGCGATGAAATCTGGTGCAGCAACTACGGAAATCCACATGGACATTCTTGATAAAACTAAAAGTAAGACTGCCATATGCTCCCGCCATAGTACTTCTGGGCATAGCATAAATCATCCCCAGTTCCATCCATTTTCCAAAGGATTAAGTCATCACTCTAAAGATACGCTTGCATACCCATGTTTATTGCTGCACACTGTTCACTTTAATTAAGAGATGGAAGCAGCCTAGATGTCCATCAACAGACAAATGGATAAAT